TCGGGATCCTCTGTGCTGCTCCGAGATATTTCTCAGATCTCTGAGAAACCGAAGCCTGCATGTCGTCACTTCCGGTTTCAAAACTCGGAATCCGACTTGGAATTCGAGTTCTGAGGGCAAATGGAACGCACCAAAACTGCCCGAAATGGGTTGACATAGACATTTCAGGGATTTGGACTCATTCTGCGCTGCAGATGGGTTAATTGCGTTAAAAATTTTAATCAGATTAATCATGATGATGGATTAATCCACGTTAACCCGTTAATTTTGACAGCCCCAATTAAAATGTATTTTTTTATTACCCGACCCACCCAACCCGCGGATTATACGCAGCGCCCGCGGATATAACCGCCATCCGCGCATCTCTAGTGTGTTGGTCTTTTTCATTCAGGAAAGTAGAAGTTTAATAATGTGCCACAAAATGCTGTAATGTTTTTGAATGATGTACTTTTATCAGTTTAGGAAAGTTAACTTACTTCTAAACTGAATTAGTGCCATTAAGGACACAAACTGTGAGTCCAAGGTGAGACCATAACACCTTATGAAGTAAAAAAATGAACCTCGTAAGCAATGCTGGGTGAATTTTAACCCTGCTATACTCTACTGATCAGGTCCATGTCAACAGGGTATGCAGTGAGATTTTTCTGAGTAAACGCGATGTCATACAGAACAAGATGGCCGCCCTGAAGCTGAAACTGAGAGACACCTGCTGGCTCTTCTCATGCTGTTTCTGTCTCTATGTAAATAAGGGAGTGAGATGAGCTCCTTTCAGGTCAGGGAGAGATGGGACCTTTACTGGCAGGTTCCTCATGTTGCTACTGTAAGGTTGTATTAGATTGATTACATGTACAGTATTCTGATGCCCTTCAAACTCTGTGTTACAGGATGCAGATGATCACTGCAGTAAGTACTTGTAGTTATTCTCAGGTTACCCTGTAACTCAACATAACTTTTAATCATACAGCACATCCTGGATCACTAAAAGTGCCTTTTTAAGCAACTTTACAACATCATTCTTACAAGTGACAACGGTTGGCAGTTTTTGACATTGACTCTGATTGGCTGGGAGCACAGGCCCCGCCCTCTCCATCCCCCTCTTAAATCTGGGCCCTGCTGCTGTCTCTCTCCTCATACTGTGACCTGCCCATATCTCAGCTGGACAGTAAGGACTCTGCACTCCACACGCTGACAACATGCTTCTGAGAATCTGCACTCTCATCACTGCTCTCTCATGTAAGAAATCAGAATCAAAACACTTTTTGTAGCACTGTAAGTCTGTTATATGATCTTCTTTTAATAACGATTTTATTTGTCAGGTGTGAGTGGTGTGACAGTGGTCACCCAGAAGCCTCCTTCTCTGACAGTGAATCAAGGAGGGACAGTGACTATGGACTGTAACCTTGGGACAGTCACTGACAGTGTTGCTCGCTGGTACAAGCAGGTCCCAGGTGGAGTTCCCCAGTTTGTGTTGAGGTTTTACCATACATGGAGCTCCCCCAGCTATGGGACAGGCTTCTCCTCCAGCCGCTTCACATCAAACCACCAGAGTACATCAGATTATCGGTTGATCATCAACACAGTGGAGGTGGGAGACTCAGCAGTTTATTACTGTCACACATGGGACGACTCTGCTAAGGAACATGTATCACAGTGATTTACACCATGACAAAAACCTCTCTGCTAACATTTTCACTTCTGCTTATATAGCTGCTAAAAATACACGCAGCACCTATCGAGATCATACTTATAGTTTGTAAAAGAAGAACAAAGATTAATCTATATAAATCTTTTAAATGCAGCAAAATTTTTATACCTAAATATAAGAATCCTGCTGGGAACCAGCAAAAAGGTTGTGAGATGTTTGGGTCTAATGTTTGCGAAAAGGATTCATCTGATACTAGCATCTTGTCTGATGTTTGCCGCTAAGGGCTCCATAGCTATAGTTGTATCTCAGTTTATACTTCTCCATTGACTCCCCTCCCAATACACTAAATGATTGCATCTCAAATCTAAAGCTTTGGATTCAATATATCTTCGTCAAACTTAACACAGACAAAACTGAGGTCTTACTGGTCGACCCTAAATCATTAGTATCCAAATCCTCCAGATTTTCTGTTAGTATTGATGGTGTCCCTGCAAAACCTGCTACTGTTATCAAAAATCTTGGAGTATTATTTGACTCTTCATTCTACTTAGATCTTCACCTAATTCCCTCTCCAAAATCTCATTTTTTCACCTCCATAACATTGCTCGTCCAGACCCATTTCTGTCCAATACTGATGCCCTAACTCTGGTACATGCATTCATTACACATTGACTACTACAACTCCTTTTTCATTGGGACTTTTCTCTTCCAGTGATGGCTTCCAAGAATCAAAGATGAAAGAATCAGCATTTAATTCAGCCTCATTTAATTCACCTTATCATCATCATCCTCATTAGAAAGAAGAATACTGTCAATTTCATAAGAAAATCACATAAAAAGCATATAATGCTGTTTCAAATCCTAAATAGTTTGACAGAGGGAACCATGTCATATTGGTCCGCAATTTGTGGTTCTCCTTCTGAAAGACGGGTGGAATTATGACAGGAAAACACCTGACATTTAGGGAAGATTAAAATAAAGCTATTTTTGAAGATATTTCTAAAAATATCCTATCAAATAAACATTGTTCATTTGGTTTTTCTCATTAGTGGAACCTGAGCTGGGTTTGAGTTGATACAGGACAGACTAGTGTTCCAGATACACTGGGAAAAAGGGTCAGGCAAAACTGACAACAGCTAAATTTCTCATGTAGTCTGATTAATGAACCTGGGTTGGCCAATGAGGAAGATTTTCCACTTGTCCAAGGATTAGTGGCCTGGCTTTGGCGTGACAGATCTTTCCTCAGATCCCAGCAACAACTTGGAAATATGACAGAAGCCACTAGACTTAGCCCCTCAGCTACAGATTTTATGTGTAGAAACAGAGGTGATTTGAAGATTAATATGCATCTTGGTTCATTTGACAAATATCGATGAGCAAATGATATGTTTCAGGATCGAGGTCATATCCGACCGCCCAAATGGACCTACCCAGGTTAAGAAGCTAAAGGATGGATGGATGGATGGATGATATTTTTCACTTTGCTTTGCAGCCAGTAGTTGGGGGTGTAACGGCACATAGTGTCTCTATTGAGAACAGAAGCTCCTCCCCCTGATGTGACCAACATCCCCATATATCTGTGGGCTGCAACCTCCCCTCTCCTCACACTCCAGTCTGCTCATTGATCACAGACTGACATCATGCTGTTCACTCTGTGCACCTTCATCACAGCTCTGACATGTAAGAAACGCACCTCCTCTCTGTTTATTTATCTCGATTAGCATGTTATTTGTACATTGGTTTGTATTTCTTTCCTTGTGTCTTTTGCCTTCACAGGTATCAGCGGCCAAAGGATGGTCACACAAAAACCCTCCTTACTGACTGTGAGTAAAGGAGAAACGGCCACCTTGCTCTGCCAGAAACCCGTAGATGATAGCAGTAATATTTACTGGTACAAACAGGTCCCAGGAGGAGCTCCCCAGTTCGTCCTGTATTACTACCGTACTTACAGCTCTCCCACGTATGGAAGTGGATTCTCCTCCAGCCGCTTCACCTCCAGAGCCCAGTCCAACACAGATTATCAGTTAGTAATAAGCAGCGTGGAGGTGGACGACTCTGCTGTGTATTACTGTAAGAAATGGTTTAGCAATGAAGCAGTATCACAGTGATTCACACCATGACAAAAACCTGCCAGTTTCACTTCTGCTTTACTACAAATACTGACAGAATATTATTTCAATTGCAGTTAATCACAACCATTCTTAATGCAGTTAGAGTAATAACTGCCATCAGGACCGGTGGAAGCCCATGTGGTCACTGCCAGCGGCCCACCCACCTGCACACCAAGGAAATAAAGAGTGTGCCCTGTTTTATATAATATAATAACACAATTAATCATATAATATTTATTAACAATATACAGTAATAAATAGTAAAAACAATCACACAAATAATAATTACATAATAACAATATCTGAAATAACAGGTGATTTGAGGAAATGCACAATTATAAATATCTTTCACACAACATAACCAAACCAGGTTGTAGGACTGTAAGTTTTATTACCTTGTAAATAGTTTGTAGGGTTTGCAAACTGCCCCAACGCTCGTCAAAAGCATCCATGTTGGTACTTAAGGTAGAACTAACCGGCTTCAAGTGCGTAAACCATGCAGTTCAGTCTCTAAAGTCTGTCTGCAACCTCTTCATGTCTGTGCTAAGCTTAGGTGAATTTTATTGCGGGGGACCCCCCCCCNGTGGAGGTGGACGACTCTGCTGTGTATTACTGTAAGAAATGGTTTAGCTCTCCCACTGAAGTGGTATCACAGTGATTCACACCATGACAAAAACCTGCCAGTTTCACTTCTGCTTTACTACTAATGCTGACAGAATATTATTTCAATTAAAGTTAATCACAACCATTCTTAATGCAGTTAGAGTAATAACTAGCATCAGGACCGGTGGAAGCCCATGTGGTGCCCAAGGCAAACTTCACTGCCAGTGTCCCACCCACCTGCACACCAAGGAAATAAAGATTGTACACTGTTTTATATAATATAAGAACGCAATAAATCTTATAATATTTAGTAACATTATACAGTAATAAATAGTAAAAAGAATCACATAAATAATAATTACATAATAACAATATCTGAAATAACAGGTGATTTGCAGGTAACACACAATTATAAACATCTTTCACACAACATAACCAAACCAGGCTGTAGGACTGTAAGTTTTATTACCTTGTAAATAGTCTGTAGGGTTTGCAAACTGCCCCAATGCTCGTGAAAAGCATCCATGTTGGTATTTAAAGTAGAACTAACTGGCTTCAAGTTTGTAAACCATGCAGTTCAGTCTCTAAAGTCTGTCTGCAACCTCTTCATGTCTGTGCTAAGCTTAGGTGACGTTTATTGTGGAGGACCCCCCCCCCACCTGCTCTGCCAGGTTTATTGTGGAGACCCCCTCTCAAGACAAGGCCTTTAATGACCTCTTGGGCACAACTGTCAGCAGTGTGTCTGTCTGTGGAGAGAGCATTGAGAGGTTCACTTACCTTGGCAGTGACGTTCATGTCTCTGGTGACTCTTCCTATGAAATCAACAGACGGACTGGGAGATCATGGGGGGTCACGAGGTCGCTGGAAAGGGGTGTGTGATGCTCCCAATATTTTAGCAGTTGGCTGGTCTTCTCTGAGCCATGCCAGAAGAGCAACTTTTGGGCACTGGGAAGGGTATCATACATGGCCCTGATCAGGAATCTCAGCAACAAGCCTATATAATCACCCCTTCACATTTGCGAAGGTTAGGGAAAAACGATGAGCATGAAAACTCACAAATAAACTTGGATCCAGTATTAAAAATGTGAAATTAACAGCAATGAATTTTTTTTAAGTTAATGCGTGACATGCAAGATTCTACAGTCAGAGAGATAACTTTCATGTGAGTGAGGCTTGCTGTCAAGGCAAAGATGCTTGGTGTACCCAGATCCTACAGTTTCTTTCCCCAAAAAGTAACTTTAATATTAAAGATGTATCATGCACTTACTCTAACAAATATTAAATAACACTAATATACATCCATTCATCCATCCATCCATTATCTGCCACTTAACTGGGGTCGGGTCGCGGGGGCAGCAGTCTAAGCAGGAATGCCCAGACGCCCCTCTCATCAGCCACCTCCTCCAGCTCCACCGCTGGAATACCAAGGTGTTCCCAGGCCTTGACATAATCTTTCCAGTTTGTCCTGGGTCTGCCCTGGGGTCTCCATCTGCTTGGACATCCCCAAAGCACCTCCTCAGGGAGGTGTCCAGGAAGATTCCTACATGGATGCCCGAACCACCTCAACTGGCTCCTTTCGATGCTGAGCTCAGACAGCCTGTGAAGGAAACTCATTTCTGCCACTTATATCTGTGATCTCATTCTATCCATCACTACCCAAAGCTCATAACCATAGGTGATGGTAGGAAATTAGATCAGTAAATTAATACCTTTGCCTTCTGCCTCAGCTCCCTTTTTGCCACGATAGAATGGTAAGCATCTGCATCACAGCCGATGCTGCACTGATCCGCCTATCGATCTCCCACTCCCTTATTCCCTCACTCAAGAAGACCCTGAGATACTTAAACTCCCCTGTTTGAGGCAGCAACTATTCCCCCACCAGGAGAAGGCAATTCACCGTTTTCCAGTCGAGGACCATGGCCTCATACACAGGTGCTCATTCTGATCCTGGCCGCTTCACACTAAGCTGCAAACTACCCCAGTGCCTGCTGCAGGTCATAGCCAATAATAATAAACAAACCTTTATTGTCCACATGGGGAAATTCTTTTTACACCTATCTCAACTTGCTCTTTGTAGGGTAAGCTGTCCGCGAAGGGCAGCCACCTGTTGGGGCACCCAGAGAGCTGGGGGTTAAGGACCTTGCTCAAGGACCCGCAGACATCCTGAGGCTGTGTTTGAACTGGCGATCTTGTGATTACAGGCACACAGGCTTAGCCCACTGAGCCACACGCTGCCCTAATAACACCAACACAACCACATCATCTTCAAAAAGCAAAGACGCGATCCTGACGCCC